ATCTTATTCTCTGATTTGGCCAACCATGCTCTACTTTCGAGCTGGTGATATTTACTCTTGAAGCTTGTGGTATATGTTTCTAAGATGCCCCGATGGGTTGAACCTATGCCTTCCCTAATCCATGTGAACCCCATAGTTTTCACCTGTCATACTCCTCTGGTATTTCACCAGGTAGTTCTTCACATTCATATACTTTTTAACAGAGCAGTGAATGAAAGGTTATGCATTGGAGAAGTGAGAGGCGACCTTGAACTTTGTGTTCATGCCCATGGACACGATGTAGATCTTATCGTGGAAGCTTCTCTTAAAAATAAATTGTTCCCTTGGTATAAGTTCATCTTATATCTGGAATTTGGTCTTTTGCAATCGTGGTTCCGACCATATTGTCCTTCGTTGATCCCATTTCTCGGACGAGTGAAAGTACTTGCCTTATGTAGATCAATACGCCCGCCCAACCTCTATTTTGATCTGCCTTCGAATATTACCTCTGGAATCTCGAGAATATCATGAAACTACATAACGTCTTATGAGTTCTTCATCAACTATTATTTCTCGCCGCTTCCAAATTTTTTTAGGGTTCTGAGTGGTTATACACTCAAGGACACCGGTAACTAAATCGAGTCCGCGCTGTGATTCATTAAGTCTTAGTAATCTTCATTGCTTACGAGTTATACTTGATCATGTCATTCCCAGTCGATTGTCTAAACCATCATCGTCATGTACCCTCAAGAACACTTTGCTTATTATAAGAGACTATTTTGGCCCGACCTTTGCCACAAAAGGATTGGGCTACCTTGCTGCACTTTATTTACCATTACCGTTACTTGCACGTTACAAATTATCTTGTTATCAAACTACTTGTTACCGACTATTTCAGTGCTTGCAGAAAATACCTTGCTGAAAACCACTTGTCATTTCCTTCTGCTCCTCATTGGGTTCGACACTCTTACTTATCGAAAGGACTACGATCGATCCCCTATACTTGTTGGTCAACAGGAGCGCTCCTAGTTTTTCTGGGATTTTTTTACCTTGGTCATGTGTTTTCCCTGTGCTATTTTTTAGAGAGACCTACCATTCCAATTTCTTCGCGAACCTTCTCAAGGAAAATCCCAAATTGGATCCAAAATTAGCGGGTTAATGTGAGCTTATCCATGCGGTCAGGGCATCTCCAACACTGACTCTCAAACCGAGCGCATCCGTTCGGACCGTGCTGTCCCGACTGCGGAAGCCATCCAAACCGCTTCTGTATCGGTCTATGGCTCGGTCCTGTATCAATCCGCGACGCTCTCTGGACGTACTTTCTCCTGCAAAGCGGAGACAAACACGGGGGGCTTTGCGGAGAGTCCGGACATCTGCCACATCCGCTTTTGACTGCCCTGGCCCATCCAAACCCCCTATCCCTTGCCCGTGCGCGTTCCCGCCTGGCGGCAGCTGCCCACATTGAAGACGGCTCAGGTCGGAGGCAACCTATCACTGGCTCCGCCATTGAAGCAACGTGTCGGTCGAGGGCATTGTCCACTACACGCCCGGCTGAACACACCTCCTTGCTGCATTCAAATAACTGCATTAAACCTGTGTGGAAGCCGGGAAACCTACTCTGGCCACACATCCGTTCATGAGCGGGCGACATTAAACACAACACCGGACAATCTCCTCTCGCCCGCCCGCTATTTAAAGGAGGCCATACATAGGGCAAGAATCGCACCACTTATCGCTCCCCATCTCCTCCTTATCCACCCTTTCGATGGAACCCGATGAGTAGGAAGAGCAATTCTTGGTCATGAAAGCCGACTGGGTGGCCCACCGAGCCAACTGAGTACGAGCGATGCAGTTCGATGCTCCACCTCCAAGTCGGACGGAGCAAGTTGCAACTCCAAGACGACGCGTGGTTCAACAACTCACCGCTCCAAGCTAGCTCCGGGAGGAGTGACGAGTTGCTCACGCTGGCACAATGGGAGCACGACCACACGTGCATCGTCACTGATGTGCACGATGCCGCGTCGTACCGCGCTTCCCGTGCCTGCAACCACGCCATCTGCCGTCAACGTGCGTGTAATCGCACCCTGCCAGCAGAGAAAGAAGCCGGCTATGCAGATATCGACGAGGCGGCACCCAACATGTTTGCGTCCGCCAACATCACCGAGGAGAAGTAGAAGACTGGAGGCGCCGGAACTAACCGGATCCACAAGCTACAAGCCCGCGCGCCGAGCTCTGGGGTGGATCCATGGCGTCGACGGTGGCCGTGAGCGGTGGATACAAATAGGCACCCCCGAGCGCCGATCCGAGGTGCAATGGATGCGGTGCGGGGCAACTATGGGGCAGCAACAAGGGGCGGGGATTTGTGGCGGCGGTGGCGGAGAGTGGAGGCATGAACTGAAGCCGGCGGAAATGGGTTCGCGCCAACGGAAAGGAGGGCCGACAAAATCAGGTGAACTACCATAGATAAGGAGGAAATGGACTCGCGGATTTAGGATCCCATTTTTTTTCAAGACGACCAGATTTGAAGGATCTAACTAGACGGAATACTACTGGTTCACCCCACAAAACAGCGGTTATTATACCACATGCCCGGTTTGTGGGATCTACATCTACTAGAGATACTCTTCACTTCAAATAGGAATTCATTTTCCAACCGGCTTTCCTGCTTTGATGAGTTCGTTTGAGACTTTGAGATCTTTTCGACGAGTGTTATGATCCGATCCATCGCATCGTATGCAATACGTGTTTTGCGAGGGACCGACCGGAAAGATTCGAATGGCTAAACCCAGACAATCCGCCGTCTCCCTCTCTCCTTCCCTCCGAAATGCAAACTCAAATCCTCCTACCACGACCCCGCGGCGACCAGCCCCGCCGGCCGCAGCGCCGATTGGCCGGGTTCTCTGGAGGATACGACGCGCCGTCGTGGGCGCGGGGGGAGAAGGGAGAAGATGCGCGCCTTGAGATGCGGCGATGCATGGAGTGCCGTGCCGAGGCGGAGATGGTGACCATCCCCATGTTCGACGGCGCCCTCATTCTGCAAAGTGTCTGCTCCCTGGCTGGCTCTCACGGTTTGGACTCTCAGTTGCTAATCCGTTCACGTTTGCTCTCTATACGAGTGGTGTGTGGTGAAGGCACAAGGGATTTTTTTTTTCTTTGACGGGAAAGGGAGGGCTCTGCCCATCTCATTAGTCATTAGTGTAGGAATTAGAAAAAAAACAGCTGCAAGATTTACTTACATAATGACAAGAAATAGAAAACTAATAGTGCCCTCAGCAGAACCTTAATACTTTGTTGTGGTACTTGGGTGGTGGGTGTGTGTGGACCTGTTGTGGTTGTATGTCTTGTGGCGGTTTGCTTTATTTATAAAGCGGGGCGAAAGCCTTTTTCGGTAATACACAAGGGATTATTGCCAAATACTGCTAACACAGGCATGCAATCCATGTTTGTCCTCACTTCTGTACTGGAGGAGATAATTCTCTTTTGTTTAACTATGCTCTGGATGCTTTTAAATTTGTTAGCAGTATGTAAGGAAAGGCTGCGTACTGACCCAAAGTGGTCAGACCCTTTCGTGGACCCTGCGCAAGCGGGAGCTACATGCACCGAGCTGCCCTTTAATTCAGTGATTATAAGTGTAACCATATGAGGAGAAAAATCAATGGCATCAGATGCTGGTAATGCACTTACCACATATATCATGTAAATATAAGTGTCTCTGATCATACGTGATGCGCTATCGGAAACATTCTTATCTATATTTTGGGGGTTCTCTCAAACATACAGACACAACTTCAAAATTGTCACTTAGGTTTGTTCGAATAGGTTTAAATTTGCCGGTGATAGGAGAAGACCTCTGTGACATTTTAGACCTGCTGGAATCAAGTAGCCACGTTTATTTCAGACCGATAAGTGGACTTAAACGGGATCCAGTTTACATTCCGAGTTAACTTTAACTTAATTATATGACATGCGCTCCACACCAAACCTCAAGTCCAACCAACCAAACGCATGAGAACATAGTGTTTAACATAGATCAGTGCAACAGTTGTGCCCATAGCTCCCCTGCTGTGACGCCACGCAGTAGTTGTTAGGTTCAGACATAAACAGCAATCGGTTCGCACCAACCACTTAGGGTAACAAATAACTTGTTTTCAAAGTTAAGTCTGAGTTACTTGTAAGTTGTAACTGGCTACTCTGAGTATGCTGTTTGGAATTTCTGTCAAGGCTCCTTCTAATTTTTTATTGATACACAAACATCATTGTTCTATTTTTCTCTGATGATTTCACCAGAGGACACTTTATCAAGTAGACACCATATTCATGATTCCAGGGTCTTGCATTTGTATTCTTTTGTCCAGCCGAGCTACTTAGTTTATCACAAATTCACGAAACATATATCTTTTCAGATTACTGAAATTCGGTAGGCAGTTTGCTAAAC